TCATATCAGGAAATGACCCTTATATTAATCAAATATGATTTACCTGTTCCAGCAGTCCCCATGATAATAATTTCAAGTGGTTCAGGAAGGCTATGACCTGTTCATCTGAATATCCTCATCTGTTTTTCATTCAAAGTGCGATAATCTACATCATCTGGGACTAAATTTTCGGTATTAAGTGCATCTCTGGTACAAGCTTGTTGTACAAAAGTAGAAGCATCAGCAAGATTGAAATTGGAATAAATTCTTCTATCACCAACCCAGTCATAATTTTGATCAACGTCATGCAAACCTAAGTCGAAAGAGCTATCAACGATCATATTCAGACCCATTTCTGATAAGATCATCCAGTCTGATCGTATCTCTTCTTCATGTTCATAGGTTTCTTGTTCCTCCTCACTTGCAGTTTCATCGTCCAGGCTATCAAGAGACAGACCGAGTAAATCAGTAAGTTCACCTTCTATTTCTGCAAGATCGCGATTAAAAAGTTCTGACCAAGAAAGAGTATCATTTTCCGTTAGCTGATGAAGGCTTCGGTGACAAACATGAAGTATGATCTTTATACGGCAGAACTCTTCCCACTGAGAGCCATTACGTTGAGACGATGGTCTTGGCCAAATGTGTACGATATTTGCACGCTCACATTTTTTCCATTGACCATTGTAAAATCTATAATTTAGATAGAGTTGAAAAAGTGAAAGGTTCTCAAGCTCAATAGGTCTGCTCTAATACTTTTGCAAAGGTGAACTTTCTGTTTTCCCAATTTCATTAGGTGGAACAAAATTTTCACTTCCGCTACCTCGAAGCCACCGTGGGATATCCCTGTTGAGATTTAAAGTAACAAATTGATGGCTGGAATGATATAAGGAGATGCCAAGGAGGAGGTGGCATGTTTCCTGTGCAGAGATATCACATTCGACAACAGTATGTAGTAGTAATTTTTGAAACAAACCAAGAGAAGAGTCTGAAGGATTACTTTCATGAAGAATTTGATTTAATATTTCTGAAAAAGCTGCGGATCGTGGCTCAGATTTACTTGCATATTTTGCTACATACTGTAGGGCAACATGAATATTAAAAATGGGTTTTATATCAATATTCGCACGCCAACCCTGGAGTTGAAGTCGATTATGTGGATTAATATAAGGGTCATTTCGTGATATGATGAGCTCCGGTTTACTATTATCATCACATATAAAAGTATGTTCTACGTTATCTTTAGGAAATCCAAATCGGCAATATTGTTGATTTGTTTTATTGTACGAAGACAGTACGAAGGGCTGCAACGTGTGTGCCGTTGTAGTTTGTTAACAAGGTCAATGTAATCTTGTAGGTCATCGCATAATTCATCTGGCTTCTGGCAAGGATGACAATCAGGTACAGATGCATCAATTCCTGGATTAATTGTAGTAACTATTGAGTCAAGATGTTGCACTATGCTTGTCAATGCTTCTTCATTTTTTTTCATATTCTTCCAGTCAAACTCAGGCGCGTTTTTCATTTTTTTGATGCCATGTACATGAACACTGCCTCGATGTTGCCATTCAAATCTGTACCACTAATCCTCTAATTTCCATTTAGTGACTAATACATTTTCGAAAAAAACTTTAAAACGCTTCTCGAAAAACCAAGCGGCAATATAAGGGTTTTCGATTAAGTCTTGACGACAACACTTGCTTTTCTCTTGTTCAGATTCTCTTTCGACTGGATTTTTGCCATGCGGCATGAGCTTATGAAGCTCTGGCCAATGTAGATCAGCTGCGCTAAAAGTGAAAAATATCATTCTGTTCGATCCAATTTGTTTAATCATATCTAACAATTCAAGGTATCATTTATTTCAGAACTGTCATGTTCCACGCAACCCTTCACCAAAACATATAACCCGATCTGCCATATAACTATCACCCCTAACCATTTCTTGGACTTCTTCAACAGTAAGTTGTCTACCACTTAAGTTTTGTTTAACGTAAACTTTACCTTCCTGCAATGCTCTTCAGTGCATTTGGGAATTTAGTGCGAAATATCGCTATTGGGTGTGATGAGCAAATCTACCATCCTTATATTTAAGTAAATGCTGGAAATATTCTGCTAGTTTGACTTCTCTGACATGTTCTGCACGTAGGTCTGCATTGCCTGTTGGATATAAGGACGGGAAAGCACAAGCGATATACCCCGGGGTGTTAAATTCATTAATAGGATGGCCGTCTATATTTGGCCATATTATTGCAAGATTATTCTCATCTTGCATTCGAGCAAAAGCATCGTCAATAGAGCGAGTTTCACTATGAGATGGGACAGGAGTAGGTACAAAGTTACGCGTGATAGTTTCTTCATTATCATTATCATTATCATTATCCAAATAATCTTCACCATCATCTACATCATCTTCCTGAAGTTGTAGAACTTGATTGTCGATAGGGCTATCGTCAGGTAAGGATTGCAGCACATCATAGTCAATGTCAATATCAGTATAGTAACAATTATATTCCTTTAACCAATGAAGGGCACATTCAACCTTAGATTGGCGAACATTAAAATCCCTAAATGATGAGCCTCTGGTGGACTGATGATAGACAATAAGTATGTTTAATGAAGAAGGGTGTCGGGGAAGTCTTGTAACAAATTTTTTTATGTCCTGAGGAAAGTTTATAACGTTTCTACGATAAGCGTATTGGCTACCACGAAGATAATAAACTGAAATGACTAGAAAAATTTGGGCTATTAACATTTCCTCAATATCAGTAAGGCCTTTTAGTTCTTTAAGTGCTTTACCTGGATCCATATTATTTTCTAAAGAGAACTTTTTTAACTCATTCTTGTCATTGTAACAGCGACGACTGGCTCCATTGACAAGGTTTATCGATGGAAAACGTTCATTACATACAGGACACAAATTATGTTTGAGCTTATTCATTTCAGCTCGAAATTTTTGTAGAAGCTTATGGTCAGCCTCTGACAAATGCTGAACATTTAAGATATTATCTAACCGTGGGTCTGACTCAATGAGAACAGAAATCATTTCAGATTCAGTATTGTCAGAAATCATTTCAGTAATTTCTTCTCAATGATCCGTATTAGCAGCAGAAGATTCTATAATGTGTCCCATTTTTCTTCGCTGTTTTTGATCACGTTCTCTAACTAAACGTGCTTCACGTTGTTCATCAGTTTTTAACTGTCTTTTCCTTTTTTTATTTTCGCGATCACGTTCGCGATGCAATTCACGTTGTTCTAGAGTTTCATTCTCCCTTTTTTTGTGTTGCCTAAGTGTATTAGATATGTGAATTTGACTACTAATCATTTTTTTTTTACTTTTATTTAGTTTTTTTTTTAGAAAAACAGTAGACACAGTCGAATCTATACTTGGATGATTGGTAAGGCTTTAAACACAAATTAATATATTAGAAGCGAGGGGTTAAGTATGACGAAGTGTTGTATGATTTGAAGCTACGTGATGATGTTAAGTTTATTAAGATTTCTGGTATAAGTTCAAGATAAAATTTAATACACAATAATGTTTTAGAATTAGCGGGGTATTCTGTTCAAAAATACAGTTTAATTGGTATTGGACATCATATTTTCATTTTTTTTGTAAATTCTTTATTTTAACAATAATAAAAGGCTGAGAACATTAAAACATCAAAACTTTAAAGAAAAGGGTTTCATTCAATAGTTTGCGTCGAACGTTTTCTTGATAGTAAATACATCCATATTTAGGTTGAGCGAAGTGGTTATAGTGTAGTGGTTTATTAGGCATTGTGGGTTTACTATTTACATGAAAATAATTGTTTTTTTTAGAATAAATTAAATGAGACACGATAAAAAATTAATAGCCAACAATGATCGAAATCTCGAAACTTAGAAGAACTGATTGTAACTGAAAAGCGCAATCATTTAATAATCGCCGAATTAAAGCTCAATAATAATACAATTATTCTAAAACGCACCTATGGTGGTTTTGCACCTATTATATATTTTTATTATGTTTTTTAAAATTTTCTAAGTTTTTATAAGTTTTGTATATAAAATTTTTAACATCAATTTTTTCATGTTAAAGTTAATATTAAGGTTAGAATTAGGGTTTGGGAAGGGTTTTTTGGGGTGTAGAACATTTTTACTTAGAACATCTCACAACGATTAATTAGCCAGTTTTTGAGATAATACAACATTGGTGATAAAACACCATAGGTGCATTTTAGTAAAATCCTAATAATAAATATGGATCTATTTAATATACAAATTTACCGTACAGCATGGACTAAAAGACCTGCCTTTTATGATTTTTCGGTTGTCTAGAATTTCAAGTACCACGGATATAAGGAAGGAGTAATTACAATTGGGAATGCAAAATACCCAGGTACTAAAGATGGTTTAATTGCACTTAGTATATAAAATATTACTACATTCTCATAGTGCAACTTATACGCCTCACGCTGAATATAGTATCCCTCCGACTATAATATTCATATATATCAGCGTAAATTGTAAAGTACCCTGAGGTTTTTTAGTCCACGCAGCACGGTAATTAGTTGCAGGAAAATAGAATTTGGGCATAGATTTTATTTATTCATTTTAATGTGAATCATCGTATACTTATTATCATTATCGCTATAATAAATGATGAATACGTAGTAAACACGGTTAATGAAAAGGTAAGATAAGCATTTTTTTAATAAAAAAAAATTTAAGAAAAAAAATTAAATAGCGTATCAAGTAAGTGATCCAAATCTAGACTAAAATACACAACATAAAATAAATTACAGGTTGTTGATTTAAGGCTTATGAGGTATGGTAATCGTGATCTCAAGATAATAGATAGTAGTAAAAAGATCATGGGTAAATACTAAAGATTTTTTGAGAAGTCTCAGTTCTCGGTTCAAATAAGAAAACTTTCACGATTTTATTAATGTAGTCATTTTGCAACAGGTAAAGATAGGTTTTTTATATAAAGGATAGAAGGTACTCACTATATAGTGAACTCACAAAATGACGAAAATTCTTCAAATCGGAATAAACGTAAATACGGGCTACAGGAATTATAGTGAGGTAGAGAGGTTAGTTCTAATGATAAAAATTATGAAGCTTAGTTAAAAGGTAATAGTAACGAAGTGAAAGTTAGAGAATAAGAAAGGTAATAAAAAAAGTTTTTGTGTAGTTATGTGCATACGGAATTGTATTAGTTAGCAGTGCACCATGACTGATATCTATCACATGCTCTGAAAAACGTGTTTGTGTAGGTAAGTGCAGATGGAATTCTATTGGTTAGTTTGGTGCCGTGACAGACGTCGATCACATGCTCTGACAGGAGCAAATGTCTAGACTGTTAGTGTCCTCAGCTACGCTTTGGACAATAATTCTAAATGGTACTTGAATTGTTAAAGAATTCAAATTATTTTTATTAAGTATATTGTTTGGAATTTTAAGATTTATTTATAAGCATATATAAAATTTAGAAATTACTTTTTTTTTTTTTTTTAATGTTAAGGTGACTACTTGAGGTCTGGCATATTTATTAACTTCAGTTGCGAATGCCAAGGCAGCCACAAGACCACCCCTGACTTTGTTACATTAACGAGGATACATTCTAGTCATATCTGCGTCTTTTGAGCGCCTAATTAAGTAGTTCCCTATTACTAAGTACTACACTAGATGCTATACCTATAATTCACTATTTTATCTTCGTAGTAAACCTACTAGAGTGGTCCATGTCTCACAAACATGTATCACCTAGATTTTTTCGTTACTTACGCCTAGGCCAGAACCAAGTACTTGTGGTATTTCTCCGCTACCGTTACCTACTCCTTGTTCTTGCAAAGTTCACTCTATCCCAGCCCTTACTTATCTAATCAAAAACCCTTCCACTGTTTCAACAAACTTCCAATCCAGATAGCCTAGTTTGGTTCACAAGTTACGTTACCCACTTTCCTACTGGCTTAACCCAGATACCAGCCTGTATCCTTTTCCTCCAGTCGATTCTAGCGGCCTGGTTGGTATAGTGCTTGCCAAACACCCAGTCCTTGTCTGGATCCACAGCTTATTGGTTTTCTTCTCAAACTTTCCAGAGCCATCAAAGGTAGTGCTACCTCTCTACTCAGGACTTGCCAAGCAGATTTCTATTCAAGACAATATCCAACGGATTTACACAGGTCCCAGGGACTTATTGTGGGTTTACACCGCCTTTTATTAGTTTGTATCTTTTCGTATAACTTCTCTATTATACGAATGCTCCAAGATCTTCCAAGTCTGTACTACCACATCTGATTAGGGCTTGCGAGATAAGCCGTCTGTTAAGTGATCATTACCCCTTACACCTATTTGGTCTGATCGTTGTTATAAGATCTATATCCCAATACTCGAATAGTCATCAATACACAGAAAAATTCGATTTTTCGTCATCAATGAGAATTGAACTCTGGATATACCACTTGAGAGGGCGACAACTTGACTACTTCACTAAATCGCCACATCCCTAAATTTGGAAATTACTATTTCCACTATAAAATAACTAATATTATAAAATCTAAGATCTACATATCCTATAGTAGAAATCGCAAATTTCTATAATGCTAAAATTTTTATATTTATATATAGTTGATTACTAGGATGACAACTACTATTCTAAAGCAAATTCCTTTTTTTATATTTATAATGATTTTTATCACACAAAATTTTGTATTTAATATTGCTTATTTGTGAAGAAGATTATTTTAAAAGACTTATAATCATAAAAGTAACACTATCTAACATTAAGATCTAATAATTGAATTATAATGTTAAATTGTGTTTTATAGTTGTGACCCGAAACCCAAAACCTTCAAATTAGAATATTAATAACTAATGAACATTTACTATAAAATAACAAAAAACATTCTTGAAATGCAATCTAACTATCATATACTTTAAGTTTCAAAGTTTAAAATTAAATTTTAGACCTTTTGGTATAGTGATAGAGTTTCAGAAAAGGTTTCGGAATTTTATATATGAGTGCTGTCAATAGAAAAATTGTTATTGGGTTTTCAATATATAGTTGGCTTTCTACATGCTATTTATTATATCAGATGTTTTATAAAATAGGTGAGCAAACTCTGCAAGCTTTGCAACTCCACTATTAAAAAATTAATGATACTAATCATTAGTGAAGCTTATTTTTTATATTGCTCACCTATTCTATAGAAATCCTGAAAAGATAATTAAATATCCAATAATAGATTGTCTATAGATAGTATATAGAAAGCTAATTATATATTAAAAGCCTAATGACAGGTTTTTTATTAACAGCACTCATATAGTTTTGGGTTTCAAATTACAACTTTACTGTGTTTTAAGATCACATATAGTAAATATGTTTTTTTCCCAATAGTGATCTTTGTATTTCTGATTATTATATATATTTGCAAATTTTAATACAAAAATCAAAGTCTTCATATATAATAGAGATTTTACATTATCTATTAGGTGATTTGTTGCTAAGGTATTTAAAAAGCAGTTTACTAAATGTACTATAGCATATATAGATTCTGTACCAGGTTTTGTTGATCAGTAATGCAGTGTAATACAATATGCAATGCAGATCAATCATAAAAAATAACCAAGTTTTTTAATTAATAATCTGTCTATCAAATGAAGAATAGGTAAAATGAAACATCTACTATCCAAAACTTTTTTTTTATCAAGTTAATGATATATGCTTACTAAATAAAAGTTGTAGAGCTCGTTAAGATGCATCTAACGGTGATTAGATCATCCAAATTAGCCTAGTAGATAGTGAGATATCATCAAAAACGATTGGCTGACTATATAAAAATTTGTGATGAAAATTACATATTGTAATATAATAATACAAGGTCTTAGTAAAGCTATACTACTTGACTTAACATGTAAGAGGGTTAACAAATATATTTGCAAACAAGAAAAGAATAAAATAAGAAAGAAAACTAAAAGAGACTTTAAAGTAAGACAATAAACCAAAAATAAAGAAAAGAGATAATGGCTTTAATCCTAAAATATAATAAAATATTCAAAAAAAGGGAGAAAAGGCAATGGCTCAACTCAATATACCAAAAATAAATACTCAAAAAAGAAAGAAGAAGTGATGGTTCAACTTTAAATATACAATAAAAACACAATAAAAACTTTATTAAACACAATAAAAAGAAAGTAGGTGATGGCTACACTTCCAAAAAAATAAACCATAAATAACAAGGAATTAAAAGTAGGGAGGAGACAATTTGCTCTGCTTTGGGGAAAAAGACAGGATTTTTATATCTTTTGAACTATTAGTAAACAACCTAATTAACAACCTAATTAATGACCCAATTAATAACCTAGTTAACAACCCTTTTAACAACTCAGTTAATGATTCTTTTAACAATCTGGTTAATAACACATTTAACAACCCAGTTAACGTACTAGTTAACATACCAGTTAATATACCAGTTAACGTATCTGTTAACATATCAGTTAACGTACTTGTTAATGTACCAGTTAACATATCTAATATTATACTAAAATTAATACTATTTATCAAAAATTTTACTATTAAACTAAAGCTAAAAATAAACATATAGGGCCTTTGCAGTAGAAAAGGCCGATACTGTCCAAAAAATAAAAATTGAGTTTTTGACATATTCAGATAAATTTTAATATATGCTATATTTTTCAATTATAAATGAGAATTGATTTGCATAATTAAAAATCAAGATATTTTAAAAAATTTCTTTAGAAGACTTGTATATCACAAGATTATCTGATACAACT